TAGTAGGACATTCTTTTATACCACCTGATAGGTTGTTCGGAATAATTGAAAGAGAGGTTAAAAAGAAATCCATTATTTTAAAAACTTCTGACTACGAAGATATTATAGCAAATAAGTCGACAATTAGAAAATTGGGTTTAGATTGGCAGGTGTATGACTGGAAGAATGAAGCACAAGTAAACACCAAAGCACCATCCTCATGGCACTTTCAGTTTAATAAGGCTAAAAGGTTTGTGCTTACTAAAGGGAAAACCAATGCACTAATACGAGGTGAGCCCAATTATTGTGTTGACGTCGGTGAAGCCAAGTCTGTTGTCAAGAGAGGAATAAAATTGACACGTATCAATCCTACTCAACTTCCTATTGGCTGCAAACTCAAAGGCGATAAATCGACAATAATTTCTCTTCTCAAAAAACATTATGGAAACGCCTGGGAAGAAAATCCTGATTTGGTTTTCTTTAAAGAAAATCTTGTTAACCCTCGAATGGTGGAAAACCAAAATTCTGTAAACGATGTTGAAGCTGGCTGCAGTGGTTTAAAACCTTGCGATATTAATTTACCAATTTAATGTAATATGTAAATCACTGTTTAATTTCTTTGTGAATAAAATTTGTTTCAAACTATTGATGTAACATTTTTTGGTGCAAAACTCGCTAAATGCATTCTTTTTTCTTCATTTATTTAAAAAATCTGCACTATTTTTTTAAAATATGTTAAAAACTATTAGAGGTGTATATGTTCTAAAGGCACGCTAACATCATTAATTGGTTATTAAAAAATATAATGCAAAAAACGTTTTTTGCACTTTTCTCAAATTGACTTTACATGCATTAAGCGAGTTTTGCATCTCGTGCACTGATATGTTCTATATAATGTTGATTTAATGCACCCTATTAATTATTATATCGCATAATTATTACTTATAATGTTTAAATAAGATATAACTTTACTTTTTTAATATAAATTAAGTAAAGCCTAAAGACGACCTTTATATATCTGCTGTACAAATAACCTTGATTATTTTAAACAAAATCAATGAAAATTTTAAGTTTCCACAAATCTAAACAATATCTTTCATGGATTTGTAGCGCTGCCAAGAAACGCAAATCGATATAAAGTAGGAACGTTTTAATGAACATAACTGACCAGGTCATAAATAAACAAGACAAATCTTGGAAAAACGCTTAAAAATAAACCCGAACAATATGTACAGAGTTTCAAAATAAGTGGTCAAAAATGTAGTTTCAAAAGCATTTTAAAAATAAATTGTCGAGAATTTGATACTTCTGTAAAATATATTAATTACAAATAACGATTAATAGACGTCATATTTCCGATAAAGTTTTACCACGATTCTATCTCTTATGCCTCTGAGAGTACTGAAAGATGACATCAATGGAAGTAAAATATATGAAAACTGTGGGGTTTCCTCTTAGAAAAACTTTAATCTAAAGGTTTCCTGAGGACACTTGCGTGAAAATTGAATTTTCTTTTATGTAGAAAATCTTCTTTTGTAAAAAAACTTTCTCCCTTATGCTATTTTAGGAATCGATATAGAAGTATTGAGTCTATTTTTCAAAATTTTGGCATAAGGGCTGCTGGTACCCTAAGCGTATTAATTATGATTTAAACATGTAATGTTTGTAGGTCCGTGCTTTTTTTCTTCATGCCACTTGAAAGTTTGTTAGTTTTTACGATAAGAGACCTGTACAATAGACATAACGGCATAATTTACCTCTAAATTTGCATTTTTGATTAGATATTATAATATTTACAATACACAGAAAGTCATAAGGGATTAAATCGTGGCCGAACTTCGACTATTAACGTCGATTATTGAATAGACTATTAAATGGTCAATAACCAACTAAATCATTGTATTGATTATTGCGTCCAGCACTTAAAATATATTTCACTTAATCGCTTAGAATTTTCTCTATTGTTTGTAAACAATGACAGTAAATGTCTCTTTACAGACACTTGTTTTTTAAAACAATTTCTTCTGTTTAATCATCCATCTTTGTTTAGTGCGCTTACCTTAAACATTACATGTTCATCAGTAAAAAAAAATAGTATTTCATAACGAGCAGGGAAGTACTATAATATAGACGAACATAAAGCATAGAGACGCTAGGCTGGAATGAATTTCCCCAAGGTATGAGTACTAAAATTTTATTTAAAAATCCTTTATATAATGTATATAATTAAAATACCACTTTCGGGCTTTATCACAACAGAACGTTTTCGGACTAACAAGTCCGTCATCAGTGCATTTACCAGGTTTACATGAGCCAAGCAACTAAATTCACTCAACTTGTTGTGATGTAGCCCGAAAGGGTCTTTTTATTTATATACCTTTTATAAATGCTTGTTAAATAAAACTTTTGTGATTTTTGGTACATAGCCAACTACAGGAATTTTATTTGCTTTGTGGAGTATGAATACTCTTTTTTTATCATAATCTATCAATAATGATTAAATTGATAATAATAATATTTGTTATCATTCTTGATGTAATTTTTAGTTTAATTGACAGTCGAGTAATGTCGAGTACTGATGACAAACCAAACTGATGTATTATTTGTGATGCTGAACTTTTAAATGAGCCCATGAAACCTTCAAAATTGAAGCGACACTTGGAAAAGAAGCACTAGGAATGCCGTGGTAAGCCAATAGATTTTTTATAAATAAAAAGAGAGAATTAATAGCTACCAAAAAGACTATGTCCAGAAATTTTTCTCAGACCGCTTAATCTGAAAACCTTGTACTGGTTCATATGAAATATCAAAATTCATTGCCGAAACCGGTTATCCTCACACACTTGCCGAGAAATTAATACATCCACCAACGAAAATAGTAGCATCTCAGATATGTGATAAAAAGCAAGAAAAGCATGTGTATTCGCTCGCTCTATCAAATAGCACAGTGAAGCGTAGAATTGTGGAGATAATATTGAAGAAACTATTATAGGTCACTTAAAAGAGTGTAACTGTTTTTCCTTGCAAGTTGATGAAAGTACAGACATATCAGATGATGCTAATCTAATGTGTTTTGTAAGATATGATTTTGAATATACTATTCAGGAAGAATGTCTATTTTGTAAATCTCTGTGAACAAGAACAACGACTGAACGGCTTTAATCTGATTAATAGCTAGATTAATGACAATGGAATTAAATGGAATAAATATGTGGGACTAAGTAGCGATGAAGGCAGGCCACTGCTTTTAATCGAATCTATGCAAAAATGTGTAAAATTTATAACCTTCATAAAATCTCGCCCACTGAACTCAAGAGTATTCTCTGCTTTGTGCAAAGAAATTAGAAGTGTACACGAACATCTTCTTTCATACTGCGAAGTGCGTTGGCTATCAAAAGGAAATGGCTTAAAAAGACTTATTGACTTGATGGAAGAAATTTCAATATTCTGAATTGATTAAAACCCGGTCAATGTTGACCCATACATTTAGGTGGCTCATAGCATGTATACCCCATAAGTATTAACCACATTTTTCTTTAACCTTAGTCACCATTATAAATTCAACGTTCTTTTTAATTAAAGTGGTTATATACTTTCAGGTTTACACTGATGATGGAATTAACATTCCGAAAACGTTCTGTAATGTAATTGTGATAGCCGGTTTGGGTATTTTATTATATACCTTTTATAAAGGATTTGAAATAAAATTTTTTGTGATATATGGTATATAGCCAGCTACAGGAACTTAGTTTCCTAGTGAATTTTATAAATATTTTTCAAAGTTCTGATTTCGCGTTTCTAATCTAGAGTTAAATACGTTTGCATCAAGTTCAATGTCCTGATTGTCTATAATCCAATTTACAATTTTAGTGATTTGTGTCTTTGTAGTTTTGTGGTTTAAGTTTCTAGAGACATTTTGCTTGTGTATCAGAGCGAGATGACGTAATGAGAACAGAATCGATGCGTTGTTGCTGAAGTCTTCAACACAACGACGAAGTGTAATTCAGACAACTGGCAACTTTGTGTTTCTTGTTTTGACGCACGGACTTTATCGCAATTACGTGGGATTTGAGCGGGATGCTATATTTGTCTTTGGGGGTGAAGAATATGGAGCTATGGGCACTAATACCATATATCTGACGACGAAGGACCACACAATGAGTAGGTTGTTCAAAAGTACCTGGTGTTCGGCTTTTGTAAATTTTCGACAGCCTTACCCCCAAAGAGCGTTATCGAAGTTTGGCAACACAGAGAGGGCGACCACACTTCTTGCTTTAAATGCCGGTTTTCGATATTAGGAATAACTTTAATAACTATAAACACTGCACAAAAATATAGCACTAAACTAGTTAAACTAATTAACAGAGCGATATGGAGCAAAATCTAAGAGCCATCTTGTTGTCTCGGTTTTTTCAGACGCCGTTGACACGTCATTCGATGTGTCTGGTAGGAGCTGCCTTCCAAAAAAAAAACACTCTGTCGTTTTCGCTGAGTGCGAATGAAAGACGGAGAAGTGTCACAACTGACTGAGTGCGTTCGATTACTTGAAAGAACAAAAAAAAAAAGAAAAAAAACGCGCGCACCTTCAAAACTTTTTACTGATTACAACAGTTACCTTAAATATTTCTGTAACACAAAAATTCCTTTTTTAAGACCAAAAATCTTCCACATTTGCAATTCGGCGTAAGTAAAGTAACTACAAAATGCACTTTTATAGCAAAAATTACTTTTTAAAAGTCACTGTGGCTATTTTTTAAATTTTAATTGTCGATATCACAGGAACTTTGCTAGTTGCAGCAAAAAATAATGTCATGTTCGTACTTAACACTTTTTAGTCAACTTACAAGAACACTCGTCACTAGATTCTTAAATTCATTTAAGTTACCAAATTAAGAAAGTAAACTTGTTATTTTCGTCAAATTATTTTTAAATAAAGACAAAACACAATGGACTATAAAAGTCCATGACAATTGGACGACTGTTTCTGAATAAGCGGATTTTTCTATAAACATTTAACTTACGTCACTGTAGTATCTATCTAATTCGCCTTCCTGATACAGCCAATCAGGATATCCGATGAAAGATATCGTTTCCTTACTTTTTTCTACGGTAACTTTTTTGGTTTTACTATCCATCCAAGTTATTTGGTTAACACTATTTATAAACGAATCCTTCAATCCTTGAATCATTCTTTCTACCTAAAATAATTATTATTTATTTAAAATGAATAATTAAATTATATTTTATTATATACTGTCTATTTTTTTAATCAGTACCCATTCACAGTACCATCCAGATCAAAAGACGTATATCATTTATTTCCCTGTTTATTTATTTATTTCGTGTACGAACTAGAGTGCTCACAAATCGTACAGTTCACTTTAAAACATCATCATCGTCATCATCTTGGTGCTACAACCCTTAGAGGGCCTCGACCTTCTCAAGCTTTCTACGCCATTCTGTTCTGTCCCTTGCTTGCATTTTCCAGTTGCCGACGCCAATCTTCGCATCTTCTGTTATCCCATCCATCCACCTCAGCTTTGGTCTACCCCGACTTCTCATTCCCACGGGTTGCGCTGTTAGAATCTTTTTTATCATGTTCGATTCAGGGACCCGAGCTACATGTCCTGCCCACTGCAGGCGGTTTCGCTTAATTATAGTGGTAATATCTTTACCAACAAACTTATGCTTGTAGATATTCTGCAGTTCAAAGTTATATCTACGCCTCCATATTTCGTTCTCACAGACCGCTCCTAATATCTTGCGTAGCACCTTTCTTTCAAAAATCGATAGAGCGGATTCATCTGTTTTAGTTAGCATCCATGCCTCTGATCCATATGTGAGAACGGGGACTATTAGTGACTAAAGTTGATTTCATGTAATCGAATGAACTATCTTATAAGTAAAGTCGTCCCAGGAGCGCAACTCAACAATATTGGCAATATCATTTTAAAGTCGTCTACTTTAAAATGCATAATGTATGTCTGAATTGTCAATATAAATGAGTCAGATAAAATTAAATTATTAGAAGAATTTTTTCACTACGTAACAAAAAACAAAATTTGTTTAATTTACTGTTTGTATTTTGAGAACGATTTCCGAAGTGGAAATTGAAACGTCTATAAACGTATTTTTATCTTTAATTGTGGCTTATTCCCAGTTAAATAGTAATTAATTTAAAATGCCACAAGAAAAATAGCTTCAGAACAACACATTATGGATCTTGTGACTTTTGCGTTGTCGTATAAAAAATGGTTTGACTGTGTCAATTTATGATCTGCTAGATTTAAGTCCTTTATGTACAGGAATAAGACCGAATAGGAGATGGCAATGGTCTTTATCTGGTCTTTATCTAGATGTTTAGTTTGTTCTGACATGGTGTGCGTTTTCCTTCTTATAACTGGGGGAATGATTTATGCCAGTGAGTAGAGGTGTTCAACTGTAGTTGGCTTTACGTGGCCAGTAACCAGTCGGCACGTGTTTTTTATTACGCTGTCTATTTTATAAGTGTGTCTTGATCGCTCTCAAATGGTGCAGGTATATGCTGCTGTTAATAGGTAGAGCTGTTGTTCGCAACACACTACGGTTAGCTCCCTGTCAAGATAGTCTTTGTAGCACATTATTTTTTGGTCGAGCCTTAGCTTTAGTATTTTCAATAGGCTGCTTGTAGTAATATATTAAATGTGCTTAGTATTTTAAATATGCTGGTCAATATTCTATTTAACGTAAATTCGAGGTACTTGGTGAATGGACATTGTAACAATATGACTACATTCCATTGAACGGTAAGGTTTGTTGTAACTTCCATGTTGTTGAAGAGCTTCCCTGTTGTGAAAGAGAGTAATTTGTATTTGTTGTGCATTTGAGTACAGCTGACTTTTCCTGTAATATCTTGACATGAATTGAAACTCGTCCGTAAGATGTTCGTCTATCTCAAAAAGATTACTAGATTGATAAGCGGTTGCACGTTCTTCAGCATAACTAAATATTTTTGGTAAATTATGGATGTGTAGGTCATATTCAGAAATCAGAAAGAAACCAAGAAAAACATTGGTATAGAAAAAAAAAACAAACCCTAAGACTGGCCACATGGAACGTGAAGAGTTTATATCAACCAGGTAAGCTGGACAACCTAATAGCTGAAATGGATCGCCTTAAGATAAATATATTCGGTATCAGCGATGTTCAATGGCCCGATTCAGGAAAACTAGCCACAAACAACGGCATGATGTATTACGTTGGTATCAATGATCCAAGACATCGATATGGAGTTGCCATTCTTGTAGACAAAGCGACAAATAAATCAGTAGTTGGTTTTACTCCCTACTCAGAGAGATTGATGATGATTCAATTGCAGACATTCTCTAAAAAGATAAACATTGTCCAAATATATGCACCAACTGCCGACAAAGATGAGACCGAGATAGAGAGGTTCTACATGCAGTTAAACGAAATCATAAGATCCACAAAAAAAGATGATATATTGTTGGTGATGGGAGATTTCAACGTCAAGGTTGGAAAAGGAAAAGTGGACGGATGTGTGGGGGAATTTGGCTTGGGAGAAAGAAATGAAAGAGGGGACAGACTTGTCGAATTCTGCCAAAGCGAGGAGATGGTAATAATGAATACAAATTTTAAATTACCTAAAAGAAGACTTTATACTTGGAAATCACCTGCGGATTCAGAAGATAACATTGTTCGAAACCAGATAGATTACATTTTAATAAAATCTAGATATAAAAACGCTATAAAGTCTCTGAGAACATACCCCGGAGCTGACATAAATTCAGACCATAATCCATTAGTAGGCGTAATGCAGATAAAATTGAAGAAGATCCAAAAACAAACAAATATACCACGGTTTGATGTCTCAAAGATAAAAGAAGAACCTATACGTCAGAGCTTAAAACAAGAAATATATGATAACTTAAAGAAAATCAAACAAGACGTGATAAAAACAACAGATGTTAATGACAAATGGAACATGGTACAGGAAACTTTAATAAAGGCAGGAGAAAAGCTACTGCAGACAAAAATAAGAAAAAACAGAGATGGATGACTTCAGAAATCTTAGATCTAATGGAGGAAAGAAGAAAACTCTGCCTAATAAAGGCAGGAGTAAGGCAAAATACAAGGAACTACAGAGATTGATAGGAAAGAAAATAAAAGAGGCCAAATCCTCCTGGCTTGCTAATCAATGCAGTGAAATAGAGGCATATGCTAAACAGTATGATAGCTTTAATATGCATAAGAAAATAAAGAAAATGACAAATACACTGAGAAATTAAAGGAAATCATACATAACAGATCTGTTTGAGGATAATCGACAAGAACCGGAAGAAATCGACAGCGAAACGGGGCCAGAGATCATAATAGAGGAAATCGAACAAGCAATACGAAACGCAAAAAACGGAAAAAACTGTAGGTCCAGACGAAATACCTGCGGAACTACTGAAATGTCTAGACGATGAAACTCTACCTGTACTTCTGGACCTATTTAATAAAGTATATAAAACTGGAAAAATCCCACAGGAATGGTTGGTGTCCACCTTTGTAGCAATACCAAAAACAGTATATGGATAATATCGCTAATAAGCCATACCTTCAAAATACTTCTAAAGATGATTCATGGAAGATTATATAGAAAACTAGAAGAGGATATGGATGATACTCAGTTTGGGTTCCGCAAGGCACTGGGAACGAGAGAGGCATTGTTTGCTTTTAATGTCCTCTCTCAAAGATGCTTAGATATGAACCTAGATATTTATTCCTGTTTCATCGACTTCGAGAAGGCATTCGACAGGGTCCGACATGAAAAACTAATAGAAATACTGAGAAACAAAGATATAGACAGACGAGACTTACGAATCATTATCAATCTGTATTGGAATCAAAAGGCCAATATAAAGATAGAAGAACAAAAGTCCGAAAATATAGATATAAAGAGAGGAGTAAGACAGGGCTGTGTTCTGTCACCATTACTGTTTAACGTGTACAGTGAAGCCATATTCCAGGAAGCGATAGCGGATCTGGGTGATGGAATCTCTGTAAACGGAAGAATAGTAAATAACATAAGATTCGCTGATGACACCGTTATAATGGCAGACACCCTGGAATCGCTACAAGAATTGGTAAATAGAATTAACGATTATTGCATTAGATACGGACTAAAAATAAATAAGAGAAAAACTAAATTTATGATTGTCTCAAAAACGCAACATGGAAATGAAAGATTAATGATAGAGCAAACCCAAATAGAAAAAGTAGAGACATACAAATATCTGGGAACCTGGGTTGATGACAAAAATGACCAAAGCAGAGAAATCAAAGTCCGAATTGAAACTGCAAGGCAAGCATTTGTGAAAATGAAGACAATGCTTACCAACAGAGACCTTCAGTTGCATCTCAGATTGAGGGCTCTAAGATGTTACATATTTTCTATCTTACTATACGGAATGGAAGCTTGGACATTGAAGAAACAACACATAAGAAAAATAGAAGCGTTCGAAATGTGGTGTTACAGAAGAATGTTAAAAATTCAGTGGGTTCAAAGGATTACCAATGCTGAGGTACTACGACGTCTAAATAAGGAGTTAGAAATTATGAACAGCATAAAAAGAAGAAAACTAGAGTATTTGGGTCACATAACCAGAGGAGAAAAATATGAGCTGCTGAGAATTATTATGCAAGGAAGGATCCAAGGAAGAAGAAGCATAGGAAGAAGACGCATCTCCTGGCTGAGGAACCTTAGAGAATGGTTTAACTGTAGTTCACTACAACTTTTCAGAGCAGCAGCCAACAAAGTGACCATAGCCGTTATGATATCCAACCTCCGATAGGAGATGGAACTTTAAGAAGGTCATATTGAAGAGTACTGACGAGGGTACACCTCCTTTTCGTACTCTATTTATTTGGGCATACCATCTACTTATTTTTTCTTGAAACTCAACATGGAAACATTGCTTAGTCAGAATTGACCAGAGGACTTTAAGTATGTTATACCTTTTTATTATTTTGTTTTATTCAGGAGTATTCGATGGTTAACAGTATCATACGTATCCATTAGATCAATGAATACGACTCAGGTCTTTAATTCCTTTTGAGATCCGTCCTCGATGTACCTACTGGGTAAGATTAAGTATTTAGTTAGTAGATTATATTTTCGTTCTAAAGCCGACTTTTTCTCCATAAATTTTTTTTCTATATGTGGATTTAATATCAATCTTTCGTGTAGCTTGAATGTAAAACACATGAAAGAGATAGGACGGCAAATTTTTGAATCTTTTAGATCCTTTCCTGGTTTTAGATATTTAATACAGCTGCACGATTTTGCTGTTTATTTTCGAAATTTTAAAGTACTTTGGCGTTATTCATCGTCAACGCCAACTCAGCACCTCTCCATGGCGTTGGGCAGACATTATGTAAAAGCTTCTTAATAAACAGGATACTGGGGCAGAAATATTATTAATCAGACTATCTGAGCTGCTAAAGCCCAACGATAAACCACAACACATCTGCCAAAATGTTAATGATGATGATGATGATGATGCACGGTTTTAGTACGCTGTAAGTCTAATAAATGGAAAACAAGGATACGAATTTAAATAAATGCTATAAAATAATATAGTAAAATAGTTAATAAAAAATATGTAAATAAATAAATAAAACAGTTTTACCTTTGGTTTTGTGGTATTAGCAAAATTTGTATCTCCAATTATATAACTTAAACCATACCCCATATACGTTTGCGTTACTGTACTGCAGACTATAGATCTAAAATAATAATAAAATATAGTAAATGTTCATATTACTTGTAAAAACAGAAATTATTGTTATTTTTTTGTATCTATTATTTGAACCAAATAATTATTTCACTGAATTAGATGTATCTTTTGCTTCACCTTTTTCTTTATCTTCTTAATCTTCTTCTAAAGGTACTTCTTTTGAATGTTGCTGATCATTTTTACTACAGTCAACTCTCTCTTAATTCAAACCTCTCTTTGCCGGACACCTCCTGTATACGGACGATTTTAAAAACAAAAATTATTCGAATATATATTATAAACCCTTACCCTACAACTCCCTTTAACGGGCACTCTTAATAACGGCCGCGGACAGTAAATGACAACATTTTTTCCAAATATTTCCCAGAAGTTTTAATAATCCTCAATCACATTAATTACGGAAATAATTGTTTTCTCATTGAGATACTAATAACTGCTTATGTTAAAAAAATATGCAAATATAAAATTAATGATATAGCTGTTTACGTTATCAGCACTAAGTAATAAAAATCTAAAAATATAAGTTTGATGTTTTTTTATTGTCATAGACTAGGTGTCAATTAGCCAGTTACAATATGACTAATACCTTAAACATAAAACATTTTATGACCGTAAAGTCCATAAAATATTAATAACGAAAAGCTGAATAATATGCTTTAAGTACTAAAATTAAAATAAGATACAAGTTAAATATAGCTTTTTTCAACATAATTAGTGTGTTTAAAAAACAGTACACATAATATAATTCAATATACTTTTTTTGTATTATCTCCTTTTTATGAGATGATGAGATTCTCAGAGTTCCACAGCAAACTCTTGAGCAGCTATCTACTCAATCCGACAGCTGCTTTGCTATAGACTGTCCAAGTTGCTTACCACTAAGGATATTAAACGGGGCCTGTACATTAAAATCATGTAATTGTTGAATAAATTGATCTGTTTCACCCTTATATTTTTGGCATTCGAGAAAAATTAGATCTAAATCACTTTTTTTGAGGCAATATTGACAAAGATCATTTTCGAGAACACTAATTTTATGTAGATGTGTGGGATAACAGGCGTGGCCAAATCTAAGACGTGTTACAGTTGTGATATATTTTCTTGATAATTATATGGCCGGAACCACGTTTTATTCGGTATTCGATTTTGTATACTACAGTATCTAGAAGGGTTGGTATAAGTATGTTGTGACCATCCAAATATTGAGATATTTCATTCTAATATAAACTGCTGCATCACAAAAACTTACAATTAGTTTATTGGTCAAACCATTTTTTTCACTTTGTTTTGCCAGCATATTCACATACTCGTTATGTTCGAGACCGATATGTGCTTTAACTCATACAAAATTAATGTTTTTGTTAACTTTTTGCAGTTCTAAAATCCGCTTTTTAATTACATATATGATATAATTAGAGGAGTAACTTGTGTATTTAGTCAAAACCGAGGAATTTAAAACAGACAGGGAGTTCGATATAATTATTGCAGAATCAATTGTAGACTGTAATAAAAATGTCAACGCTTCCTAGATTGCAATAGCTTCAGCACTAAATCTAGAAAATATGTTATCCAGTTTGTAGGAGTAATTACTATTTTTGGAGGGAATATAAAAAGCACATCTCACACCATTCTTGGACTTCGATGCATCGGTATATATTGCCACAGATTCCTCGAAGCTTGCAAGTATTGAGTGTAATAAGTTAATGTTAATGTGAAAATGATTGGTATATGAAGGTTTTACAATCTTAATATTTAGAAACACTGAATTGTAATCATAAAGATCTTACACAGTTGAGCTGGGATCATACACATCACTAAGGATATCTTGGCTAGATTGAAGTGCGATACACAGTAGTGAAGAATATTTCTTCGACCAATATTTATTTATCAGATCTTGTTTATTTAATACTACTATATTTGAATATAGATTACTGTTGGTTCTGGATATTTTACGAAGAAATTTGTCTTCGTAAAATGAAGAAACTGCCTTCTGTAATTTAAATGAGGCTCAATAGTTTCTACATGAAGAAGTTCGAGTGGAGTTGTTTTCATAGCACCAATACATAGGACTGAGTTCTGTAAGATATCTATTTTGTTTAAAATCTGTAAACTAGCAGAGCCGTACAAGATACACCGATAATCCAATAGATATAGACCTGATATAAACATGGTAGAATAGTAAGGCGGTTTCAACGTCAGCTCCCCATCAAATCTTAGTAACTATTTTAAAAAATTTAAACCCTTTGTACATCGGTCTAACATGTAATTAATATGAATTTTCTATATCAATTTCCTATCATGTATCGTTCTGAGTCTTTAATGGAAGAATTATAAGAACCTAGGACAATGTGACTTAATTTAGGTATGTTGTGTCAACTGAAAACGCAAACTTTAGACTAGAAGTAGGAAATTTGAAAACCATTTAATGTTAACCATTCATGAACAACACCAAAGATGACTTTGAGAGAAGCCATAGTGGTATTAATTTCTTATTTTCAGTATATATGCAGAGGTCATCTACATATTCCTATTTTAAACGGAATGTGATTAAAACTTACTTGATGTAAATCAGCAGTATACAAATTAAAGAGAAAAGGGCTTAAAACTGAGCCTTGTGGAAGTCCGTTGTTGTTATTTATTGGACCTACAATTGTGTTACCAAAATTTCGTAAAAATATTTTTCTATTAGTATAGAATTTAATCATCATGTTGACTACCTGATTTGGAATATGAAATAATTTCAACATCTTATCTCCTAAAATGGGAAGGCATGTATTATCATACGCACTTTCTACATCTATGAAAAGTACAGAAAGGTAATTGTTTCTGCCAAAAATATTGTTTATGTCTACCATAACAGTACTAACAGCATCTAGAGAACCAAGCCCTTTTTTAAAAGATAACTGATTTTGACAAGCTAATTTATTATAAGTTATCCACTATTCTAGTCTAACTGATAATTCTTTCCAAAGTCTTCAAAACACACGACATCAAAGAGATTGACCTATAAGATTGTACCAAGTTGAGATCTTTATTTGGTTTAAGGATTGGTATGGTAAGAAACGTATTACCGAGTAATACGTTTTTCGCTATATTTCGAAGTTTTTTTAAGCATAGGATATTTAATTTCATCGAAGTCCGGAGTGATGTTAAACCTATTAGTTAGTGCAAAGTCAAGTTCTTCCCGTGTAAATAGATTTAGAAGAAAGTGACTTGAAGTTATAGCATTATTTTAAATTTCTATAGCAGCATTAACTGATGGAGATGCTATTTTGTCAAAAAATTATTTAATCAATTCATCATTAAAATGCTTGAAAAATGTTTGGCGACGTGAATAACATGGTGTTCGCCAAAACAAAGTTTTTAAGTTTGAAAGAAAAAGTCGATTTGGTTCATTACGCGAAGACTCATAAGTTGAGTGTTAGACAGTTAGCAGAAACATTTGGAATTGCAAAGGCTTAAGCCAGTGAATTTTGAAATATAAAAGTGATTTAATTAATTAGTTTTCTGAGAGCGGAAACCAAAAAGCGAGAACAACATTTTTGAAAAACGAGGATGTTGCATTAGTTCAAATTGTTTTTGATGGGTTTTGTAAAGCGTGGTCTAAACATATTTCTGTTTTTGGTAAAATTGAAGAGAAGGCATTAGAAGTTACAAGGGAACTAAGTGTTGTTTTTAATGTGGTTTAGTGAATTATGATTGAAAGGAAAAGCTGCTTTATGAAAGGATACTCTCCGCGAGACATTTTTAACGCAGATGAGACGCGATTATTTTTTAGAAAATTATCCAAGAAAATTTATACCCTAAAAGCAGAAAGGTATACTGCAGATAAGCCTTACAAAGATAGAATCACAATTCTATTTTTCACCAATACGATAGGAGATAAAGAAAGGCCACTGGTAATCGGAATAAGTAAAAACCATCCTTGTTACAAGGGTTTCCACTTAGAAAAATAACCTATAGAATGGTAGAGCAATACAAAATTAGGGATAAAAAAAAGAAATATTGACAGACTGGTTACAATAAATTTGATAGAAGAATGCAGAGAGAAAATCGAAAAGTTTTTTATTCCTAGATAATGCTGTATCTAATCTACAACTTGCGTTATGTAATATTAAACTAATATTTCTGTCGCCAAACACTACATCAAAGTGCCAACCCCTGGATAAAGGGAGTATAAAATGTTTTAAAACATACTACCAACTGTTTTTGATACAAAACCCACTGTCATCGATAAACGAATATGATTCTACAAAGGAGATGAGAAGTCTACAAACATTACCAACGCCTTAACTGGAACCGTAATTGAATGAAGTGCAACTGAAAACAATCAACGAGTGCTTTCTTAAAGCTGGATTTGGTTCCCAGATCTATATTGAGCCTGAAGAAGATTCTAAGGACCACCTTCCATTTTCTGAGTTGTCTAAAATAAACAAAAAAATTTCGACAGATTTATTAACTTACAAAAATTGATGGAACCTTGTTGATAGAAAATTCTGATATAAGTATTCAATAGTGTGTATGAGAGTTTCAGATGAACTAGGCTGTTACTATATTATCAGAAAGTGAAAGTGACGACGAAGAATAAATGGTTCGCATATAAAAAACAATAATGAATTTTACTTTATATATATATATATATATATATATATATATATATATATATATATATATATATATATATATATATATATATATATATATATAAAGTAAAAAGTAATGGCATGACTCGCAAAACAGAAAACCAAAAAGTATATCGATGAAGGGCAACCATATATACGTATTTCTGACTATTGGTCGTCTTCTAGTATGGTGCAGCTAAATTAGAAAAGGAGCATATTAACTTGGAAAAGGATCACTACAGGAGCAATGAAGCCAATTTGTGGTGTTAAAGTTAGAAGACCCTGATGGTTTCCAAGGCAACAACTAACACTAACCACGGAGGAAGTTACAGCTACTTGGGGAAAGGAACGCTAAACCCCTCTTTCT